TTTCATCATTCGCCTCGTTGCATCATCTACATTTGTGCCCCCTACATCTGCCACCATGGCAACCTAGGGATGAGAGCCAAAAGGAGAAAAAACGCTTACATTAACTGCCAAGCCAATAAGCTTCAAATATTAGAAAATTCAGCTGGAAAGTCAACTAAACATTTAAAGTTGTAGCCTTTGTGTAATTTACTGTAATGTAATACATATTTTTATTTTGTAGGCTAATGCAAATCAATTTGGAAAAAAAGTTAAAAAAAAAAAACAAACCAAAAAAACTTACAACAGCAGACATTAGACTGCAGTCCCCCAGTTGCTCCTCAAGTGCCTCAACATCTGCTTGAGTTTGAAGTGGGAAGACCACTCCATCAGGAACCTCCATAACTGATGCATCTTGCTTCTTCAGCAGGACATTTAGCATCTTACCATGAACCTTCTGGGTCTCCTTAATTTCTTCTACAATTGTAAGAAGTTTAGAGAACATGGCTTCACAACTGGGGCCTGCAAACTTCTGGGCATGGTGATCCGGCTGGTCATTTTCTTTGATGCTGGCCAAAGGAGTTTTTCTGAGGGAGTGGGTGGAAGTTCGTCCTTTGAATCAGAATGGTCACTTGATTCTAGATGCTTGCTCTGAATCTGGAAGAGTTTTGACCTTGCCCTAGAGAGGTTAATGAAGATATATAAGGTAAACCATACCTACTGCCTCTATATTATGGAAATGACCGTTAACCTGTATTCCCCCACACACCTACTTTCTCTTTATCAGACCATCTTCGGTGTCTGTCAGGTCTGATGTATACTCAGCTTGATGTAGCTTTACCCTGGCCTCCGCATAAGTAGCTGTAAAATACAATGACCGCTGTCAAATACAATCACGGCTGTAAATGCGCAAAGTCATGGTCAGGAATTCACTTGATAGAAGTGTGACGGCTTTTAAATAAAAAAGACTAAGTAGGGGATCACAGGGGCTTTAAAGTAAGTAAAGGAGAGCAGTAGTTAGTGAGGAAAATTAAAGCTAACTGCATTTCTCATCACACGCACATTACACAGAATCCAGTTTTGAGCTGGTGGTGTGCCCTCTTTCACGGCCTTGGTCACATTGAGCAATGTGGCTGGTGGCCACCAGCGTAATTTTCTGTCAGTGCCCTCGAACCACTCTGAATAATATTAGCAAATATCTTTTAACTCATTCACACAAAACTAAAAGGAAAAAAGCAGCAGCTGCAACAAAAAGAGCCACCAGATGTGCTGCTGAGCTAATTCAGTTCATTCAATAATTGTTTATTCTGCCTTTGATTTGGAGAGGGGCTGTATAAAACCAGTAACGTTATGTCGACTAATTAGGTTGATTAGGCCTAACTACTAACATTAGCTAAAGTTAGCTAAAACATAGAACATTAGCTGAGTCCAGACATTTTGCCCAGTTCTAGCCCATGCCCACTTGGTACCCACGCAGCCCCTTTGGGGCCCATATGGGGCCCACGTGTACATGTTGGCTGGGATATTATTGTCAGAACAAAGTAATCAGCCAATTTATGAACGTGGGAAGGATTGTTGTCTTTTCTCAGTGCAGTGGACAGTGGCCACCAGCCAGCAGGAAAAAGGAAAGATAACTGAACTAAAAACATGAAAACAATGCTGTTTGGTATGCGCTTCCAATAACCTAATTTTAACCTACTTGTGTGGGAGTGGGAAGCATATCGGAAGAGCGGGATATCAGAGCTTTGTTGTTGTTTTTTTGATGTCATAACTTTTGTGCGTGTTAGCTCATATTATATTAATATTTTGGGTCTAAACATCATGGCATAATGGTAAACTATAGGTGCATACATTTCACGTAACGACTAAACAGCCTAGGTGATTACAGCTTATTTAAAGCGTGCGTTTCATTATTAGCATTAAAAACGTCGGCAGGTTTCGGTCCACGGGAGTTATTCTATTATTATAAATGTATTATAAATGTATTATAAATGTAACCACTTTGTCCTGCAGACGTTTCTTTACGCAAGGAAGACGATACAGAACCGACGGGGAAATAATTGTGATATATTCTACCTGTATTTAAAGCAATATCTCCTATTTAGAGCTTTGAAAATAACCCTGACAGGTTGTGATGGATGCTTCGATGCTTTTTCGTCCTAACTGAGTGTTTATTTCATCAAGCCACAAAACATATCCAAATATGTTGGTTGCTGCTGCGGGTGTTTTTGTTTCTTCCACACAGAGCTTACCTCCCCACAGCTGACTCATCAGAGCTCTGGCAATGATTTCTACACCCAGTAAACTAATCCCTGCAGGACAAAATATATAATGGTAACAAAACGAAAGCTGTGATCAAATTTAACATTCATTCATTCTTTTTCTTTCTTTTTTTTATGCATCAGGCCAGCGATTTTTTATTATATTCGACGTATTTTTTGAGAGGGATTTGAGTTTGCATGTATGGCTCAGGGCCTTTTCCTCTCCCGTCTTTTACTCTTTCCTTTTTTCTTTCCTGTAGGCTACTTAATAAAATTTAAAAAAAAGAACCGGTAACACGACACAACTGCACGCAATGAGGCATACTATTAATGTGCGTAATATAGTAGCCTATACAACGAATCAAAATATGATCAATCGATAATGATAGTGTATTAGGCCGCGCTACTTCCACCACGGAGTTTCTCCTACAGCCTTACTGAATATGGGAAACATTTCTATATAGCTTGTGTCGCAGTGGTTATAAGTAGACCTAACCAGACCTCTTCGGGAATAGTACTTAAACATCAACATTTTTTAGGAACTTTTTATTGCATTAGATTATACATTAATAAATAATTGAGAAGCCCTACGCAACCATGTGGACTGGCGCATTAGCAGAGCGAGTGTATCCTCGTGCTGAGAGCGTGATGAAGTGGGCAGCATGACGTGAGGGCGTGGGAGTCAAGGAATGTGCGTGGAAAGGGTCGTTTCTACTTTAATTTATTCTTGTACACATTAATTGCTTGCTTATGGTAGAATGGGAATTGTTGGGTCTCTGTAAATAATCTTATAAGGAGTCTAGACCTGCTCCATTTGAAAAGTGTCAAATACAAATAAAACTGAATTGAATTAAAATCTTATTATATATTGATTATGACGATAACTATATGCACAATCATTCTGTCCTTGTGCTGCAGTTTCCCCTCTGGGAGACCAGCCCATAAAGAGTACAGAATAAGATAGCGTATTGTTACAGGCTGGTGAGAGAGTGAACTGGGTGTAGGTGGATGCATGTCAGTGTAAAACCATTCTCGTAAACAACAGATTGTCACAGACGTCCGTTACAGAAACTGGCACTTCTCTCTGTCTCAGGTGATAATGAAAATAACTTTTGCACGCCTAAATAGTCTTTCACTTGTGATGAGGATCTGAGTTTTTTTTTTCCCTCTTTTTATCTAGAATGACACCGCCCAAAAAAACCCAAACTCTGCACAAACTGTTATGTTTCATTATAACAACATAAGTAAAGCAGATGATTATATTTCTCGATTGCACAAATCCTTCATCAGAACAACTGGATTTAACTATTGCACTTGGAACAGGAAACACACTTTTTAAGGTGCACAATCTCCACCTCCAACATTGCCAAAAGACAATGAACCCAGTTCTGCCCAAAATATGACAGTATAAGTTATCAGAACTTAGAGAACCACAAGGACATCCATAAATATACACTGTATACATAAATGTGCCAAAATATATACAATCAGATATATAAAAATGTAACATGAGCAGAGAGCAACAATAATATATAATATTACAAATAATGTACAGCTAATATATAAAATACATATTCTAAATAGCACAAAATCACCTTGGTGACCACATAATCGTTTTGTATTACCTATTTTTGTTAGCCATTTCACACAATTCAGAAAAACAAAAATGTGCATGAACTATAGGCCTGTATTTATTATATAATGAATGAAATGTGCGTTATTTGGAAGAAAGTCGAGGTGTGACTGACTTACAGTGGATCCCCCGTCTCTCTCTCTCTCTCTCCCCCCCTTGTCCGTTCCATTAGGGAGACCCAGAGGTGAACTGTCCCCCGCCCCCTCCCCTTCTCACACAGCTTCTGTGCACGTCGGCACGCCAATTTGCCAATTCCCCACACAGTGATGTGGTAGAGCAGATCGATAATAGAAAACCGCTTGGAGGCGCAGAGGATTTCTTTTTTTTTAAGTGCTGTCACCCCGTCCATGCCCAAAACCGCCACTGAAGGCAATTATGATTGTGTGATGAAATAGAATCGTGTGACTGGTGAATCATGAATAAACGGAGCTTCCTGTTGACTCATTGGACTACAGGAATAGCTGCAAGGTGTCGTAAAGTGTGGTAGGGGGTTGCCGGATGTTTGAGATCAGCTTTCTTCAGTTTATGTTAGAATCATCACAGTGGATACTGAACAGGGTTACATCGTGGTGAGCAACGATGAACTGGACATTTTCACTTTTCTACTTACAGATAGTAAAAAAGCCAGTAAGTGTAATAACAATAACCCTGAGACCCTCGAAACGTCAGTGAGAATTACTGCTGTCATTATGAATCTCCCTTATTAAATCCAGGCTTTATCACATAACCCAGTCCAACTCCAGATCCTGATGAAGTTTATTCCACCTGAGAGGAGCAAAACAACAAACACACAAAAAGACCCCAAAGACATATTATAGTCTGTCCACTTATCAAATCTAGACCGCATATAGTTACTGTACCCAGAAACGAACATATGATGGCTCCTTTAAATAAACATATTACATGTCTGTGAAGCTGGGAAAAAAAAAATATATATATTTTTTTGGTTCCACATTCTTATCTCTCAAATAGTAGCTAAACTCACTGTCTGTTGTCTAGTGTGTACGTGCACGACTGAACCTTGACTCCACAGGTTTATAAACGTGATATTTTTAAGTGATATCACGAGGTAGGAGTGGCTTTGTTGCAGGCCTATTTAGATGTGCATTTTCTTGCATCCCATTCTCAAGTGCAGAGAGGGCTGTAAGATGCGCCAAACAGGCTCCCAGATGTTGTCGCTTTGGGCTCTTGCATTGGGTATGATGGGCGCATCTGTACACAAACAGATTTTGATGTATTTGAGATATATTTTTTTAACCAGTGTAATAATGATTTATATTACATTGTTTCAGTTTGGCTTGTTTGGGGCTCCCCTACATTTTGTGGTGAGTATTGCTTATTCATTTCCCTTAATTGATGGGTCACTTGTTCTCTGAGTTTTCCCAGAACATAGATGGTGTTGCTTTCTATGATGTGTTTTTGTTCCAGTTTTCCCTCGTCCTTGTTGGGATGCTATTTTTAAATAGTGTGATCCTGTGTGTGTGTGTGTGTGTGTGTGTGTGTGTGTGTGTGTGTGTGTGTGTGTGTGTGTTTGTGTATACACAATGAGAGAATTAAGAGAGGAGAGAAACTGAGGATGTACGTGATGTGAAGTTGTGTCTCCGGCAGATGTCTTGTCTCATCCAGCATGTCTCAAGTTTGTGGAAAGAAAATTTAGGATTCTCTTTTTTCTTTACCTTATGAGCCATGAGATGCAACTAAAAGTTGCTATTATTAGACTATCCGGTGATGAAAAATCCGACGCAACCTGTGGGTGAAGACTGATGCGTAATGCCGTTGCTGGCAATGATTGTGCAATATAATGTTTTTATATGATGATGAAATGGGAAGCAAGGAGTCAGGGATTGACTGCTGCTTGATTTATCCGCAGAGCATTATGCGAACTACAGGGAATTCAGGGGGCACTTGGCTCTGAAATATTAAATATAAATAAATCTTCATTAACTTGGCTATTATTGATGTATGATCTTATTCACTTTATATTTCATCCTTGTCAGCACAATCGACGCATAGCAGGGTTATATCATAACTTTCACTGGCAGAAAAAAACTTTCTTCGTCCCACTCTGTGTCTGTGTCTGTGCGCCTTATCCATTGGGGACTGGACTCAGCAGTAGTCAGACTGTGACACTTAGTCTGTCCTTACTGTGAGCTTGAAAATCATCAGACACGGCAAACAACTATCATTGCTCAACTATTTAATCAACTAGTCGTAGGTTGATCGTCACTCTTTTTTTATGACTGGGGAAAAGACAGATTAACACATTTCCCCTCTTATTGTACACAGGGTCTACCCCGGGGCCAGATGCATCTGCTAAAAACGCCTGCTACCGGTAAGTGGTTTTTTTTTTTTTTTCTGTGGGTAGGCTTGTTTTAGCTACAGTGATTCCGGCATGGACAGACTCCAGGAAGGGACTGCAAGCCAATGTAATGTCCCCTAATAGAAGCAAATGATTATGGAAGCCCATTTCCGCCAATAGGACGAAAAAAAATATTCTTCACGTCATTGAAATGAGAAACTTTCTTAAAACTGACTTAGTTTCTCAATATGTTGACTTATAACCTCATGATTTTGACTTACTGTCTCAAAATAATGACTTATTATCTTAATATTTTGACTTATTATCCAAAAATTATGACTTAGTATCTCAATATTTCGTCTTAGTTTTCCAATATTTTTACTTAGTATCTCAAAATAATGACTCAATATCTCAATATTTCGACTTACTGTCTCAAAATAATGACTTAATACTTTGACTTAGTATCTCAAAAATATTGACATAGTATCTCAAAATAATGACTTGATATCTCAATATTTCGACTATTTTTCCAATATTTTTACTTAGTATCTCAAAATAGGGAGAATCCTAAATTAGAATTGGCCTGTGTGTTGTTCCCTCATATGCTCCAAAGCCACAGAAGCAAGTGAATGAGACAAAGTTTGGCAGACCAAATGGACACCGTCATTGAAGACTGCTTTAGAAGTGGATTCACAAATCGTGAGATTTTAGCAGTTTTGGAGGGATCACATAATATCAAACTAAGGCTCCGGACCCTAGAGAGAAATCTACAAAAGAATTTGCTCGGGCGGAGATGAAATAAGACATGTAGCTGAAGTAGCATCCTTCACTGAGCAGCAGTTACAAATGTCTGGCAGACAGCACGGCTACAGATAAATGCTGACAGATAACTGTGGGTCAATTGATGCGACTGATGGATGGGACCGATGTACGGTTTGCAAAGTGGGTATTCTCAGTACCATAATCTAACCAGACTTGATGTGGACATCAATTGTTTTCGGTCACAGCATCTATAATATATATATAAGTCAATATATATTGAGATACTAAGTCAATATTTTGAGAAAGTTTCTCATTTTGAGATACTAAGTCAAAATATTGAGATACTAAATCATTATTTTGAGAAAGTTTCTCATTATAATGACTTAAAGAATATTTTTTTTCTCCATCATATTGGCGGAAATGGGCTTAGACAAAGGTTGCTGTTTTTTCCATATCAGACAATATTGATAACAATAAATCCAGCAGCAATGTGGTTATGGTGACTCCTAATCCCAGATCAAAGTCTCCCCAACAGTTGGGGACCATGCTAAATGAGACTTTTTCTCTGGAGTATCATCAGGCTAAAATCTTCGCTCTGATAGTAACTTCTTACAGCCCGAGCAACCCAGCATCTCCCATCCTCTGTTCTAATAGTTGTACAAGATTGTCACCATTGAAAATCCCAGCAACTGTTCAGTTATGTTAAAGGTTTAAACCCTGCCTGCTGGAACCTTAAAATGTTATCTATTAGTGGGCCAGTATGGGTACCCCATAAATCATGCAAGTGTTTTCACAAAAGTCCATCAGAGGGCAGTATTACAAAGGATAAAGGTGAAATGTGCATAGACCTGACAGGAGGCTACCTTTATCTGTAAAATAACTGCTAACTACAGTATATACTGTATGTAAAGTCATGATCGTCACTAATAATAGCCTGGGTTATGTTATCTGTGTTTTGCAGAAAAACTTGTGGGAACATAAATTATGACATCCGTGAGGCTGTGTGCTGTGAGAATCGCCTTCATTCAGGGGCAGGGCTTTCGTGCTGTGGAGGGGAGCCTTTCAACCCTGCAAAAGCCACTTGTTGTACAGAAAGAGATGGACACCCCAAGCCGAAAACAGGTAAAAAACAAGGAGTGGAGCTGTTGAATGCGGGGAGTGATTCAAGAAAATGTAGTAATATAAATAAATACTTAATGGCATGGCAAACGCGCAAAGGTTTAGAGTAGCCGCTAACTTGGATTGTAACTAGTTTCAATCTTCATGCTCCAACTTCTTTTAATCATTGGTAATGTGATGTTTTCGTCGTAACCAAGGAAACTGTAAATAAAACATAGCAGCAAACAAGTGCACACAATGACCATGGTGAGTAATTAAGAACTTGAAAATATTTAACATATTTCAGGTGTCTCATCACATGTTTTGTTCCACACCTAGCTTCATATCAAAGACCATTTGTTTTATTTATGTATTAAAACCATGATGGTGTGAAATTTGTTGGGGTCTGTACCAAACAAACATGTTTTCTTAAATCTGGAGAACAATATTTGCTGGCCAGGGCATCTCTGCAGCACTACATTACATCATTATAATGCTGTTTTGTCACACGTTTTACCTTATTGAACTTGCGACTATGCAATTTGCATATTGCACTTGGCCATATTCCCAGCACTGCCTTGTGCCCCTTCTGTAATACATAGCACTTTCAGCTTTTAGTGTGGTGCTGGTGTTTGTATCTAGGACTTGATTTATGTTTGTGTGTGGTGTCTTGATCTCTGTGTACAGCTCTTACTCTGGGTTTGAGCCAAAAAGTTTCAGATTGCTGTGGCCTGAACGCCTTCAACCCTCTCAATGAAATATGCTGTGAATCAACCGTTGTACCCAAACCTGTGCCTAAGGCTGAGTGTTGTGGTAAAGGTGAGTAGAGCTGGATACAACTGATAGATGTAAAACATCATATAAGCATAATAGTGATCACTTTCTAATCCATGCCATTCCTACTAAAGTTTCTTGATTCTTATTAGCTGTCAAGTGTCTAAGTATAACCAGACACCTATGATACTGATATTTACAGAGTATTGAACAGTAAGGACAGCAACAGTAAGGCTTAGCTAAAATGCTTAGAAAGTGTGTTAAAAATATGAATACATGAATACTTGTTTGTTTTCTGATACAAAAATCACTGTTAATACTGCAGCTACACCACAATAGCTAGTAGTTGTGGGTGAGGTACACTCATACAGTTTAAAGTATGATCCTGGTCTTTTCCACAGAGGCTATTGACGTGGACAAGCAGATGTGTTGTGGTAAAAACAGGACGATCCTGACTAGGAAATCCATTCATCACCAGTGCTGTGGAAGTCAACAGTTCAACACTACGAGTCATTGCTGCTCTCCGATAAATGGAAGCCTCCAAATACTAGAAAAAAGCAACTCCAGTGGCTTTGCAAACAAGTCAGGTGCGTCTTAATTTCAACGCCTACGGTCCCTACGCACTCTGTCATACCAGTGATCTCACAAGTCCCGTCACACTGTGTGAGATGAAAGTGATAACATTTGAGACATGACGTTAATAAAGTAAGATGTTAGAGATTGCAAGCAGTGACACGGCAAAGAAGTTGCACCACTTTCATTTTAATTAAATGTAGTATTGATATGTATCTTGTGCATGCGTGGGTGCTTAAAGTGTCATGTTGGCCATGGCGGCTGTAGCTCAGGAGGTAGAGTGGGTCATCGATCCTTGGCAACTCCTGCTGCATGTTGAAGACAGCAAGAGCAAGACGCTGTGCATTGGTGTGTGAATGGGTGAATGTAGTGTACAGCGCTTTGAGTGGTCAGAAGACTAGAAAGGCGTTACCTGTGCCAATTACAAAATGCCTGCAGCATTTACATTACAAGGCAGTCTTTCAAAGAAGTCTCGATAAGATCTAAAGATAGGATCAGTTTTCAGCTGTATATGGGTGAGGTCAACGTTCCAGTTCTAAGTATCATCCTGATCTTTTTTACAGACCCTGTTGATGTAAACAAGCAGATGCGTTGTAGTCCATCTGAAAACCCAACGATCCTGTGTTGTGGACTGAAGCAGTACAACACTAAGACTCATTGTTGCTGTGTGATGAATGATACACTTATGATACATCCTTGGGCCTCCAGTTGCTGCAAAAATGATTCAGGTACATCTGAACGCCATCCCTTACCCCATTAAAACAGTCTCATGTAGATCTGTTTAAGATACTCTCAGGTTCATGTTTAACAGTATGAAGCTCATCTGTCAACTGTGGTGTTGGTGATAGTCTACCCTACTTGAATATGAAGCCCTTTAACTGATTTTAGAATTTTAAAATTCCTGATTTCCTTTATTTAATAATCTAAAATCGACAAAATAGATGCAAACTATCTTAGACACCGATGCAGCTTTGTGGATCTGTTGATTTGTCTAGTTTTTAAGCGAATGTAAATGTCTTAACGTGCAGGATGAGTCACTGACATTCTCCTTCGTCTGGTCTAGATGGTATAATCGTGTCTTGTCTTTTTTTCACCCACATGCACTCAAAATACTTCATGCTTTATCTCCACAGGTGTGCAGAAACAGGTAAGAAACAACCTACTATCTTCAGTATCAAAGGATGACTAACCTCACATATATCTACTATCTGTAATACATAAGTGTGGATGAAACACAATATATGCGTTAATATAATGCAATCCACTACATCAGGTTTGTGAGGCTCATACTGTTTTCGTTGAGAGTTTATGTTGATTTAGCTGGATCACAATAATGTTTAGTAATGTTGTTGTATTGGATTGCCTTGCATTGATCTGGAAGGATCAGGCACAAAGCAATGACATAGTGGGTTGCCCTTTGAGATATTAAATTTTTTTTTTGTTTGTGTGTGTGTGTGTGTGTGTGTGTGTGTGTGTGTGTGTGTTTTAGCAACCAGAACCTCAATCCAACTGGTAAGTCAAAGTAGTTTATCATTGTAACTAGTTTCGATCTTCATGCTCCAACTTGTTTTAACCATTGGAAATGTTATGTTTTCGTCATAATATCATATCAATGACCATTTATTTTATTTATGTTTGGTCTGTTTGAAGTCTCTCTTTCTCTGGGGACTTTCCAGTAGGGCTGCACGATTACTGTGGGAATGATCATTTTTGCATCATAAATTAAATTTGCTATCCAAAACCTATTAAAACCATGGTGGTGTGAAATGTGTTGGGGTCTGTACCAAACAAACATGTAGTTTATCATTCTGAGACCAACAAGACTTTATTTCTGCCACAGACTGACAATCATCAAATCATGCTTAAGGCAGTAATAATCATGTGGTTATATATCGACCCAGTCTAGGTCAATATGGCTGGTTATGCAAGGCAATGGAGATAGGACCCAAACGCAGACAGCTGAGGTCTGAGAATGATTTATTGATTCAGTAGGCTTACAGGCAGCCAGACTGTTACAGCTCCAGGTAACAAAACCACACAGTTACTCACAAGGAGTGAACAACAATGTGTTGTTAATCACCACAAAGCTGACAAATGAAAATAGGTGTGTAGGCGGACAACGAAGATCAGGTAACTGCAGGGCTGATGAGATATGTGAAAACAGGTGGGTAGATGGGTTGGGCTGTCAGGTGATGGGGAAAGAGCGAAAGTCTGAGGAACTCTTGTGGATAGGAAGAGAGTGACAGTGGTTGAAGTGATTGGAAATGTGGTTGGTTGGAGAGACAGAGGCAGAGTGTGTTAACCCTACCCAGTACCAATGAGTTGTTTTCACCCAGTCTTAGATACTAGAGCTCAGGTTTTAGTTTAAAACAGTCTCAACTGTATTATTAGCTGCATAAAATGATGGCCATATTATTTCCAGTATTGAAGTTTTAAAAAGCGCTTGAGTATAACGGTTCAAAAACAGTAAACGATGCAGTAGCAAAAACAAAATAACACTGGTTCAAAACAAATCAGTTATTCTTTTTCCTGTAGTATTAATGTGATGTAAACTGCTTTTATATTTATTATATTGTTATAGTTTTTACTTATCTTTTTTATTGTTTTTTTAAATTATTATTTTCTGTTTACAGCACCGAACTACAAACAAGTCTCTGTGGGTCATCATGTTACAATCCAAATGAATTTCGCTGCTGTGAGAGAAACCAGACCAAGTCTAAGTGGTGCTGCGGCCCAGGTAAAGCGTGTGTTTGTTTGGGTTATATCTGTTTGTTGTTGAAATATTGCATGGTCATGGTGGTAGCATCTACAAATGAGATAATCGCTCACCTGGATGTTAGAGTTAAGTCAGCGGTTAGAATGATGATGGCACTTACCTGTCACATTGACACACTGAGAAATTGTGTGGGAAATTCTACCTGAAGGCATATGATCTAATCAGATTTGGGGGCATGATGTATTTATTAGTTGATTGCACAGGCATGCAGAAAGGATAGCCTAACTGCTGAGAATCTTTTTTTTGTTAAACTAAGCTGTAGGTACAACTACTGCGTGCCATAACAGTAGGGCCTGTGCTGACAGATTAGAGCAGCCACCCACACAGCCCATGTCAGGAGACTCACACGAGTCTGCAGGGCACATCATCTAGAAATTTGGTGTCTTGTGCATTTGTAATGCTTAACTCACATGGTTCTCAGTAAAAGTGGACTGTGAAAATGATCTGTTGATAGTTATATGGATCGCAAAATCGCACGTTTCACTACAATTCCAATGTCTCTATCTATAGATTATGTCACAGACATGAAAAACATATGAATACTTCTTTTAAACTCAACACCTTCTGTCCATTTCAAATCAAAGACCCTCTTCCGTTTCTGTGCACAGAATCAATTCATATGTTAACAAGGCTTTTATTGATTGTACTGTACTGTTTTTATCAAAGGCAAAATCAATTATAGAAAGATAGGGCTAGCAGCAGCTGCAGCAGTTCAGCACATCAGCTGTAGTAACGTATAGCATTCCCAATTTACATTGCATACCAATTGGTACAAAGGAACAAGATGAGAAGGGGGTAACAACCTGGGAATTTAAGAGTAATTTATACCATATGTACCTACTCTAATATCATGGGTATAGTATGATCTGGTGAACAATCTAAGGGTTAGAAGTTTGTATTGAGTTTGAGTGTGGAATTTGCATGTTCTCCTCAAGCCTGCTGGGCTTTTTCTCTGCATGCTCCAGATTCCTTTCACTAGGCCTATCACTATTAAATAAATATACTGGGATAGGCTGTAGAGTCAGTTATTCCTTATCGGGCAGTAGTAATGGAAGGGGAAACCCTGCTGTTTATTCTGACAACATGTTGGCTAAAATGTTGATAACATTCTTAAGTAGAAAGGCAATATTGACATATTGTAGAATTAGTCGATAATGTCATCATTTTGGCAGACCTACCTTCCACAGTCCAGAAACATTGGTTTTGAAGAAACACATGAATGTGAGCTAGTATGGTGTTCTGGCTTTCCCCCCAGCTGTATCTGTGGGAATTTCCAGTGACGTTTGTAGGCTGGACAAAAATTATTTCACTTTCCAAAAAAAACAGGCCTTTTTACAAGTGGCCACATTCGTATGCAAAATAAATGCTGGTTTAAGGAAAAACAGGACATTTATTTTATATAGACTGACAGAGTTTAAGAACATATAGACCTCTCATTCCATGACCATGTTTCTCCACTCATTCATTTTGTTTATTGCTTTAATTTGTCACTTGTCCACATGTATGCCAATCCATGTTTGTTTGCACATTGTATTTAGTATTAGTACAGTAGTGTTTTCTGTTCAATTCAATTCAATTCAATTTTATTTGTATAGCACCAATTCATAACAGAAGTTATCTCAGGACACTTTTCAAATAGAGCAGGTCTAGACCGAACTCTTTAAAACATTAATTACAGAGACCCAACAGTACCACCATGAGCAAGCACTTGGTGACAAGGGCAAGGAAAAACTGCCTGTTAAAAGGCAGAAACCTAGGACTGATACTCCGGCTCTAGGTGGGTGGTCGTCTGTCTCGACCAGTTGGGGTGAGAGAGAGAGACATCCCTATCCGTATCATCTGTTCCTTCCTGTTATGTTACAAGACTGATATATATGAGTGCTGATCTGTCACAAAGCAATTTGGTTAAGGGTAAGGGAAAGATCATTCTCATGTGTGAAAGAAAAACAGTGTTGAAGGTATTAAAGAGGGAATTAACCCATTGTTCCTGTTGTTTTGTTTTGTGAGGACAGTGTCAAGTAAATGCTTCTCACCTGCACTTCTATACTTAAATTCTTAAAGAAGGTGACAGAGGAGAGAAGCAACACTAAAAGGCTGTGAAATGTCCAACAAGTTTGCACACACAAATCGATCAAAGAAGACAAACATCGAAAGGAAAACATTTAAAGCAAAAACAGATTCAGAAGAATGGGTGTGTGAACTGAATGGAAGATATTTCTCACTGAAGAGTTTCCAGGCAGTAATTTGATAACGTTTTCTGCTTTCTATCTCCACCCATCCCTGAGGTGATTTACTGCTGGTGCCTTGTAAACATTTTTGCTCCTTAATGTTCAGAGCTGGGTGTTGAGAACATGGGCCCGTTTTATCAGTGGACAAAAGAGTAGGTCATAGTTTATACTGAATGCTGTGTCTGAAATAATAGAAAAGGGAAACACATGGTTCCCAACCCTTTTTTTCCCAGAAGAGTGTTGTCTTGAGAAATATATTCTGAAATTGCAGGTGCTGGAAATACAGACATGTTATGAGCCAGGTGTTGATTTTTGTCACACCTCCATAAAGTCTTAGTCTTGCTGTCTTCCTCTGAGCCAGCTTTTGCGGACGTCATTCATCCCCACACCCTCCTCCTCCATAAACCCACCCTCTCTCACCCTTCCATACACACATTTCTATGCAACATTAACTCCTATTTTCCTGTATCCACCCCACACTCCCATATCCCCCCTCCCTCTGTTTAGATCGATGTGATGCTGCTCCCACTGTGTATAACCCACATACCCAGGTCTGCTGTGACGGCTGTGTGTCAGAGAGGAAACCTTGGATGGATCAAGTAATGACCTTTTCTTGTTTCCAATGTTGTCAGCTGGGTGGAGACAGGATGTATTTTTCTTTCTGTGGGAATTTCCATTTGTGCTTGAAAAAAGTAAAAGGCAGAATTATTTTTAAGTGTAATGTGGCCTCATGTAACATTTTTAAACAATAAAAACAAGACATATATTTTATATAATCCAAGATTCCAATAATTATTCATGAATTTGAGAACTTCACCCCCACATCAGTGAGTCAAAAACAAGACTGCTATTTTGGTGCAAATTTGATGAGAGAGCCCAAAGCTCCACCCAGCTGCTCTTATACAGCCATCGTAGTGTTTTGTGTCTATCGTATAAAAATCCCTGCAGACGTTGGCGTTATTAACAGTAACCACACATGCTAAAGGATGATATAGAAATTCTCTGGTAAGACTTCAGCAACTTGAGCACATTTTTTTGTGTTTAGATAAATATTTGCATTTGTTTTTCTTTGTTAGGTCTTTATTTTTCCTCATATTTCTGTCAAAATCCATACATATATGTTACCATATGTGAATTTGTATGTGTGCATGACAGTGCCTTGCCTACTTGTGTCTGTATTGCTGCACACTTTATTGTATTTTTTCTGATTCAAGTGTTGCGGAGAGACACCCTATGGTTTGGCGGAACGTGGAGTTCTCTGTTGTAATAACACCTTGTACAAGGACAGAGAAGATGGAGAGGAATGTTCAGAGATCAGTGTTCCTTACAACCCAACTAAATGGACTACATGTTGTTCTCAGTTTCATGCTACACCCGGACAACACTGTTGCGGGACAGAAGTCTATCGACCTCACATTGAAATGTGCTGCGACGGACACAGGTGCTTATGTGCATGTGCATGAAAAGATGATAAAATGCAGTGAAGCATGGAGACCTTTTTTTTAATCGGCCTGGTATGTCGCCGTGTCTGGAACTGTGCTTTTTCCCCTCATATTGTGTTTCCACAGACAAGTGGAAAACAGTAAATTTTTGTGTCTCGTAGGGCGTGAGGATACAGACAAACTTAGACAGGAATGCTGGGGAAAATTCTCTGGAGCTGATTGTCTCCAGACAGGCTTTCATTCCAGCAACTCCGCTCACCCTTTACCTCCTATCTTTTCCTGCCAATGTGTAAAACACACAGAATGACTGTGTCTCGGATTGCTGCTGCTTAAAATCTGTCTGTATCTTATGTGCTTGTGATTACCCTTTTACGGAATCTTCTAGGGGTAGACAATATAATATGTTATTAAAATATTTTAATGGGGCTCTGACATTAAAGAGTTACAGTATGATTTACTCTGGCATTCTGAATGAAGCTGCATTAACACATATTTAAAAACAATCAAATAAGAAAGCAGTAGTTCCAGAGAGAATTATCACTCAACTCAGCAGCTCTTTCAGCTTTTAACCCTAAGGTCACAGTTTTGGTTTTATGGTTAGTATTGTTTGAGCTGGTTGAATTATATCCTACTCTCATCAATATCGTAATAATATATAATTTATTACTGAAATGAAGATAAAAACCTTGATATTTTTCTGAGGATTTGGTGGTGAGCACAGCAGAGCTAGAGGGAGAGGGAATATTGCCAAGAGATACAGACATAGGCGTTATCTGTGTCTGCTAGATCTAAGTCAGCAAGTGTTTCTTAACGGATCAGATCGACATGATAATGTAGTAGTTCTCGGCTGTTGTGTATCAACTTGTTTTACAGTTCTTTTGCCAAGTATAACTTACACAAAGCATTTCAGCTTGGTTTCCGAACAGTTATTCCTCTGTTTTAATTAGTATCTAAAGTCACATAATAGCACACTTTATTTTCCTAACTACTGTAATAGTAGTAGTACTGTGGCTTAACATATCCTGTGTAGATGCTGACAAAGAGCTACGCTGGTGACATAATGACCATGTACTTAATGACCAGAGAAAGCAAATTCTCACCCTCTTTTGAATATAAAATCCTCTGTCCTTAGTGTATAGTAATAGCCTAGTTTTATCTGACTCACCTCATTTGATATTAACTACGAACTGTGTTTCTCCTCCCAGACATCCCAAAGAAAACATGCAATGTTGTGGAGTGAAAGCATACAACATAAGCAACCACCAGATGAAGTGCTGCGCAGGGACATTGTACAACCTGACATCGTTAGGCACTGACATACATACGGCGCGGTGCTGTGGATCCCTTCTGCAAAAAGCACAGGTAGGTTTTATTTTTACCATTATTAACACTGTTCAGGGTCTATGATTTGTGCCCATTTTAAAATACATCCATGAACTTAAATGTACCTCAAGAGATGAAAAGATTTAAAGCAAATTTTGTTGGGATAATCTGATCATTTTCCATCTTACTTTAGAGTATGTAAGCACAATCTGAAAGAGGGGCCAAACAACTAGACAAGCTCTGTCAAAAGTAACAAAAAGGAAAAACAATATTCCTTCAACAACTACAAAATTTGACATGTTTTAAATGGTCAATGCATCCAGCCTTTTGTCCAGTTCTGGAAGGCGCGCCAAGCCGACATATTTACCACGAGGACTGTTCAGTAAATTAGTTTTGTCTAAAATAACAGTATGCGTAAACTTATATCTTATAGCTTAGAGACAGAAGAAGTGCTGCACAGATTCTTACACCAAACTGAAGACAACATCTCTAATCTGACACATTTTTTTTTATTTTATATGTAAATTTAACATGGCATATAGGTATAAATTTGAATTTGAATTTATATTATACCAAAACTCAACCATCTGGTGCACCACTCTTAACACTTCTGCCCATAATCCTGGTGAGATCCCCAACAGTGTGTTATGGATCTATTTAGTTTACATATTTTATGTCGTGGACACATACAGTGATATCAGGGGTCAGATCAAGCATATTTTTACTGACCATTCATATGGTTCATAAAAATTCTTTAAATCTACTTTATAACTAGGATGTTTGCTGCTCACATGAGGACAAGGAGTTGCTCTACTCTGCCAAGACAAGATTCAGATGCTGTGGTCACCTCTACTACAACACCTCTCTGTGGTCATGCTGTGCAGATAAGCTGAGTCCACTACACCAACCAGGACATCATCAGAACAAGATGATTCTCTCACTGAACAACCTGAATGAAACAGATCTTTGTAAAGAAAGTAAGATATCAGTTTACCATTTATATTTTTCTGTGAACTTGGTAACAAATACTGGTAATGAATACATGTGGTTTTGTAAATTGAATGTATTTTCTTTTTATGTCCCTGTTTAGTGCTCATCGGGACTGTGGACAGTGTGTCTCTGCACAGCATCGTGTTCAGGAGTGTGCTGAAAATCCATGGAAGAACTATGATTCCTCTGCCCTCGCCTCACATCCTAAAAAAACCTGATCGTTGCAACTTCCCGAAACTGATCCATGGGAAGACCTACTTCTTTAATGAAGTTAATGTCTTCACTGATTTCAACCATGACTCTATTCTCCAGTCATTTCATTTCATTACTTCCAAGTGTAGTCAGGTGACCTCCTGTTAATCTGTTGGTCAGCACTGGTCAGATCTACTGTTATCACTCAATATTTTTAACTCACCGAAAAAGTAATGACAACACTTTACTAATAACTCATTAGTGGCAGTTACAAGTTACATTACATGTTACATTGCTTTCTGTAACTTCTCCCATCTCGCTCAAAGGTGCCTTTTAAAAACTCCAAAGCCTCCACGCCCTGTGGTTTCACATGCAACCAGCCAACGATTCGGAGGTATTCACTGACCATTGAGAGCTGGCTTAATTGTTTATTATGGTGTGGGTGCTTGCATTGTTATTGTTAGTTATTGTTCTTGGTGTGGCAGCCCTGGACAGGGCGAAATTAATTTACTCTGGGGACCCTATGGAAAAAATAGCTCTGGGCCAGTCTTTACTGCATCATTTGGACTTGTTGAAAGATGTTATCTCATTGTGTACGACAGAAGTACATTTCCACATCTGTTGGCAGCACTGATGTTCATTTTGGCCAACTCAGGAACAACCTAATTAGCAGCTAAACCGGCAGCGCTTATTATTTAAAATGGTTCGAACAATATTTATTTAGAAAAATAAGACGTTAGACATTACTGTTAGAAAATTATTATGTTACAATTATTAAATTAACTAAGAACATTACACATATCAGTAGTTAAACTTAAATTTTAATAAACTGTTAGCAAAAAAGTTGCCAACTTACAACACAGTGACAATACTATTTGTGTATTGTTTATGTATTAGCAATTCATAGTTACTCTGTAGTGAAAATAATAACTTTGGCAATTTACAGTATTACTTTTGAATATTTTTTTTTTTTTTTTTACCACAAACAAATGTCACCCAGTCAACCTCTATCCTTCAGGCCCTCTGATGGTCTATGGCTGCAGGCAGCACTCTAGAAATCCTATCCATACCCACTCCCTCCAACTCAAAACTCCAAAACCCTAGTGATTCCTGAATGTACTCTTACAAGAGACTAACTAGAAGACACAATGTGTAAATTATAACATTTTTAAGGTGTTTTCCTTCTTCTTTGTTGTAGGCTAGCTGCCAACTTTGACCTTGAGCTTCTGCATTAAGCTAACATGTCCCAAACAGTCAGTCCTCAAATAAGAGACGTAGCATTACTGGGATTATTAACTATCCATTACCTGTTACTAAAGGCAGTAACCACTATAGTAAGACTGCCCAACATGGTGCATGACGACATATTTATCTGTATGCTTTATAACACACTATTCATTACAAAAGATTTACAGACGCTACAGCGATAAAAGCTGCAAGGAATATGTTAGCCTGAAAGTAGCTGACTTCTTTGCCATCATGGCACTACTTATATGATTTTCACATAAGCTAACCAGCTATCAGCTAATATGTTTGGTTGTTCAGACCATTTTCATAACTTTATTAGTCTATTTTTTGGTTTACTGATTGTACCCTTCAATCTACATGCCAAATGCACACAAGTCCTACACTCATACAATTGTATGTTTACATGTAAATTGATGAGCATTTCTTTAAAAATATCAGGGATACAAGTATCCCAAATTGTAATTATAATTTCTGTTTTCCTTAGTTGCATTTAGGTTGCCATTTTTCATGTTAATATTATTTTGTACTGTAATGAGGTTGTGGACCTGGTGCCTATATTGAATTTGAACTGTACATTACTCTTGTAATGGTAGATTCAGTTTCTTTGTTTCAGCCACTGCAGATGCCCAACCTCCCCCTTCCTAACACAAGATGCCAGGTCCTTTTGTGTTTTGTAGATTGTGATATCTGCACTTGGCTTTGCACCTGAATGCAAGATCCTGCAGGACACCTCATATGTAAAACACACCAGTAGGGGGTCGGCCCCGATGCCTGCAGTGGGCAGAGGGGTGTGGAAGCACTTCCTGGAGGGCCACACCCCTACAGCAGACAAAGGTGTGTGAAAGAGGTGGTCCTCAGGTATAAATGTTTAGATCTCCCCATGTTCGGGGTCTTTCTTCATCTTTGACCGCTCGCGTGTTGATTGACCTTTTCTTTGCAAAGAAAATAAACTTGTCGGCCGGCAGAAGTTCTCTATTTCATTCTTCACCAGCAGCAGAGAAATTTCCACAACACTCTGTAAACTTAATGTTTACTGTATATGTGAAAGATGGGAATTTAAGCTATAAAAACATTTTCATTTTAACTAAAAATATTTGTAACAATTTTATACTGCACTTTATTTGTAATATGTGACAGTATATTTTTAAATAAAGTTATATCTAATGAAGAACTTGTTGTGTCTTATCTTACATAGTCTTTGACTTTAACTTAACTTTCTTTTAGTCGAAGCTTTTCACCACAATGGTACTTTGACATCACAAGATGTATCCTTTGCAGTGGACTATTGTTTTTTGGGACCTTTTTTGGTTTTGGTTTCATTCAAGCTATTTTAATGGAATTTACAGAAAGTGGCAAAGGAAAATAAAAATGAATGCATGTTTTGTGCAGATACTAGAAGTTGACCGCATTGGGATAATCCCAGTGTTATGTGGGAGGTGGGGAAGATATTCATCAGGCATAAAACAAGGTTTGCTTCCAATCTAAATAAATCTGTATTATAGCACATTCAAGAATCTGAAAAATAGCTGAAGTAAAAAATATGGCCCTGAATGTGAACCCTGAATTGGCTCCAAAGAGGGAGGTACAAAGCAAAGATCTTAAAGGTTTTTTTTTTCAAGTTTATCTCAAAGCCATGCTGCTGGGAAGGAAGAATTAACATAGCGACCTATAATTCTGTCATTGTACATTTGTAAGTATAATATTAAGATAGGCTTAAAAATATATATAACCAATTACTCAGACACAGAGCAGACTTCCTCATGCATAGAGCTGTTCCTCTACCGCAGGTTAGACCTTGTCTTGATGTAAATTATTCTGTAATTTCAATTGTCTTAAAACAGTTTTTTTTTAAAAAGCTCTTGCCTCTTGATATGAATTTTCTAGTTAATCAAAAACCACCTTGCCACAAATAATGTAAACCACTTCCCTATCCCAATATCACTGAATCCTGTCATACTATAGTATTAAAGACTACTCAAATGCCATTATTTCTCTTGAGATGCTCTGCCCTATTCCTCCCTCCCTTCCCACACGGACACCTGTTGATAGTTGACTCTGTTTAGGACCTGATCAGGGACGTCTCCATGGCAAACTGCTGTGTTATCGTGATGACACCATGTGAACCGAGGCACTGATTGAGAGGCTAGACGAAGCGACTCTCCAGGCTTATGTGCACACACACACCCATGGACACTTACACATGCGCATATGCAACACCTTGATTACCTTAGAATGAACCATTTTTATCTACAAACGCAGGTCGCCTTTCATGGAGCCTGCCATGTTGCAACACAAACACAACTCACATTTGAGAGTTTCAATCCACCCTTTACTTTTACAATAATCTCTATGAGACACCCAGAATCATTTTAATTTACCTGCACAGTTATTCTTTTTTATAGTCAATTATATACAGCCATATACACTTACTGTACCAGGGAACACAGCCCTTTTTTACAAATCCATGTGTCACAGCACTGACCAGGCCAAGGGATAGGCAAAACTATTTTCAAATGGCTCCACTTTGAACTAGTATTTTTGGCACATACCTTACATAACTTTCTATGGAAGCCAACTGTAGGGCGGCTATCAAAGAGAATCTGAATGTTTCATAGGAAGTTTGGGAAGGGTCATGAAACAAATGCTGAGAGAGTGGTGAAATATTGGTTCCCAGGTCTTTTTTCTATTTATGTTAGCTTGTGGATTGTTTTATAGTAAAAAAAATCCCAACAATTGAAGGGTATTGAACAGTAGAGATAAGGGAAAAAGTACATCATAATATGTGTATAGCTGCAGCTTAATTCAGCATTACCCAAAGGCTTCAAGCTTCCATTCAGAGCCACAGATCTAACACAGAACACAAATACCATACACTGTTCTTCATCTTTTATCTCTTACTTTGAACTTGACTGGTCTGTTTTAACACTTAGATTGACTGTCATGAACCGGCTCAAAGTTCAGACAAAACAAGGGAGACCACACAGGCAATTAAGGTTTTAACACAAAAGACATTTATTTAACCAATATTTAACTATCTCCTAGCTCCCTATACAGCCTAGCAATCAGGGAGCAATTTAAATCAGGTATAGCTCATCCTCCAGCCACACTCCTGCACAGAAGAAGGGGAAACACACAGAACAACCAGAGTGGGAGGGGTCATCACATTGACATTCCTCGTTTTACTTTTAATAGTATTTATTGCAATGATACTCTGTACAGTAGAATTATACCAAAGTAATACATATACATTGTTACATATTACATACCCTGCTTTATTTTATAGCCCACATACTCTAACTACAATGTAATTAGTGTAAATGGCTGAAGAAGCAACATATGTAGTCATGCACTGTCAACTCATAACTTATGGTAGTATGCTGTCACTATAGGGTAATGGCATTCCCGTACTATTCTTTCTATTGTATACTGTACATATAAGTCCATACAAGTAACATCAGTGTATGTATTTGACCTCATCCTGTACTGTTAATGATATAAAAGCTGTTTGAGAGTCTTCTCTGGCATCAGTTTGGTTTCTCAAATAGTTAATGCGTTAAAGGTCCAGTATGTTACATTTAGGGGGATCTACTGGCAGAAATGGAATATAATATTCATAGGTATGTTATATAATATATATCTTTAAAAAGTTTAAGAAAACAAAAAGCTCTTGCCTCTCGATATGAATGTTCTAGTTCATGAGGACCAAGCAGGTTTAATCAAAAACAATTCAAACTCCTCTGCTATGGTAGGAAAAGGAAGATGACTGGTTGCTCTAAACACTCAATCATAGATAAATATATATGTCAGGTGCTCTGAGAAACAGGGGGAAAACTGGATGGACCAAAAGGCCATCCAGGCACTTATTATTATTGTATTATATCATATTCAAATATATTAAAAATCCTTTTTTGTAATAGCCAAGTCATTAGAAAAGCCAGAATGTATCAACCACTGCAGCTCTTTGTCAGGACTTTAAAGGTCCAGTGTGTAACATTTAGCAGGATCTATCAATGGAATATAATATTCGTAGGTGTGTTTTCCATTTGTGTATAATCACCTGAAAATAAGAATTGCTGTTTCATTACCTTAGAATAAACCCTTTTTATCTACAAACGCAGGTCGCCTTTATATATGTTAACAAAACTATTATTGTATTGTATTTATCAAAGGCAAACTCAGTATAGAAAGATAGGGTGGCAGCAGCAGCTCGTGTGATCACGTCAGGCGTGTGAAGAAATGAGAGGAATGAGAAAGGCCCAGAGACAGACCCGAGCATATGACACAAAGGGGAATGGGAAACATAAGAAAACACAAGGAAAGATGAAGGGGAAGAGCCACGACCATGACAGCATCCTATGTGGACCAACCGTTAATGGAGGAAGTCGAGGCCAAAACGAGTTTGGACAGTTGCATCTGCGAGGTCCATTCGTTTCGGATTATGAACACCTCAAAGGGCATTATCCCACTTACACCACCTTGTTTTTTAAGATTTTCATGTATGACAGGGCGTGTGTACTGATGGCTGCAGCCTGAAGTAGCAAGTTGAAGAGTGGATGTGGGGGTGGGATGATCGCTTATAGTTCAAAGGGGCACTTGAGGGGGAATGCGTGTACACCCTGTGGTGTTCAGAGGATGAGGCACTGAAGGACCACACATAGTGTTGTGAGACATATTTATGAGATTTTTAAGTAGCTTGATTTCAGTGTGTTAGTTTAGAACAGTTAACAGTTTAACTGTCTCTATTTAGTAGGTGTCAAACATCAGGAATGGACACCCAGTCAATCAGAATTCACCCCGACCATGGAATAAACTGTATTGTAAGGTATAAAATAGGCTATTGTCATTAGTATTAGGTTAATTTCTCTTCCACTTTGTTGGTATAAAAACGTGTGTGTGTGGGAGTGATATAAAACTTTCAGTTACTCATAATGATCAATAGACGGAAAGAAAGGAGAAAAAGAAGCTTGATCGCTTTCCATTTGGCTCTTATTGTTTATTTTCCATTCCAGACACATTTTCATGTTACAGACTGGAATGTCTAAATAAAAGGGCTGAGTTTCTGGTAAAGAAAATGCCAGACGTGCCTTACAGCAGCTGTTAGGGAGAGGCTGAAATACTTAACATGCCATTAGGAACAACTAATTGAAAAGTAGCCAAAACAAATTTGGTGGGAAACAGATATGAGTACACACTACTAAGCATTAGTTAAGCATGAATAAATAATGAATTCATCATTTATAATGCATGAATACACATTTGTATGTAGTTTATAAACACAGTTAAAAATGTATTATTCATCATTGATAAGCACATTAGTTATGGTTAAGATAACTGAACATTTTGAGTCTCGAGGCATTGTCAGCCTTTATATCTCATTTGTAAATGCTTAATAAGCCATAGATAGTGCTCACTTTACATGAGCTCGCGCAAAATACTTAATTAACGAGTAGTAAGTGCTTTGTAACTGTGAATTCCTGCATTAATAACTGTTTGTAGGCCATCATTAGAAAATGAATTTGTTGTGAGTTTTTATAGAACATCTGCTGACACAGTCACTAATTATTAATACATGTCTGAACAGTGGATGTGCAAGTGCATGCAGAAATGTATAGTACAATGAAGAGTAAAACATTTTATAACTGTGATAATAAACCACATAGTAATGACTATTTAAAGCAGAATCATGCTTTATAAATGATGAATTCAGTATTTACTAATCCATAATTAATGTGCTTATCAATGATGAATAAATCATTTTTAACTGTGTTTATAAACTACATACTAATGTGTATTCATGCGTAATAAATGATGAATTCAGTGTTCATTCATGCTTAACTAATGCTTTATAGTGTGTACTCATTATAAAGTGTTACCAATGTATTCCTTTAAAATGTCTTCCAGACAGACATGTCCAAGAACGTGTTTTTGTAAACATGCTCGAGGTACACGTTTCCACAGAAATAAAACACACAAAAAAACTGATAACTAGGAATAATAAATACAATGGAAAGAAATTAGGGTGGGTCTAGAAGCAAAATGATTCATAGCTGTGAAACAAACTCTGGCAGTAAACACACATATTATCTGTTTTATGTTACTCTATATATGTTGACCAAAAAAGACCAAGGGAGAGCAGTGCATATGTTTATGTATGTTTGTGGCTCATAAAAGAAGAGTAAAGATGGATTATTGAGCTGGTGATAAGCAGTAACCAAACACAGCTCATTAAATCCACAGTTAAAGGCACCTGCAGACACAGAAGCAACAGTTAGCAACACATTTTCGGAAGGAGAAACTGTTGTTTTGTAAGCCGTGTGAATTGCATTAAATAAGATAACTAGATTAAAAACAGACGGAGAGAAGAGCAAACAGCACTAACAACGGTCTCTCCTGTAGAACCTGTGTAGTGATGGTATCAAACCACTGCGCAAATATAATTTATCTTGTTGCGGTTGCTTAGCACATTAAATTGTTTTACAGCACACAAAGAAGATCCATCTGCAGCCTTTACAAGTGACAATGAAGAAATATTTCTCCTGCTGCTGCCCATCCCTGATCCCCAGCAGGGAAACTGCTCGCTTCTACCTGCTCTTTGTGCTCATTGCTCTTTACATGCTGGCTGGTGCTGCCATATTTTCTTCCTTGGAGAGACCAGCGGAGCTACAGGCTCACCTGCTCTGGGAAAGGAGGCTACAGGACTTCCGTCATGAGCACAACATTAGTTATGAAGACCTGAAATCTCTGTTGCACCATTATGAGGAGGCTAGGACTGCAGGCATCCGGACAGAACAAGGCAGAGCCCTATGGGACATCCCTGGTGCATTCTACTTTGTGGGAACTGTGGTCTCCACCATTGGTGAGTCACTACTGGAAATATTGTAGAGTTATAGCTTTTAAGGATTAAAAGAACAAATCTGTCAACAGTGCCACGGTTATTGTAAACCATCTTATAAATTACCAGCCTGTCAGATGACTACATGAATAACAACTTTGTCATGATTTTACAGTTAAATGTGAAAGTTAACTTAATACACTGATAAGTACAGTCATTTTCACAAACTACTTCATTACCCTGTGAAGGTTGTATCATTGTGATTGCTGTAGCCAAAGTGTTATGCCAGATAGAAACATATAAAATAGAGGCCAGATGTCCAGCATGTCTATATACAGGGAGGACCCTTTGACAGCCAATCAATACCACGTCCATGTCATACAAATTTATAACAATTCACACAATTTAACTAATCATATGAACCTAATTAGACAGGGCATATGAAGCTATATTGATTTGGTGAGGTCCACAAGGGAAAGATCGTTCAAACTCTACTAGAGTCCATTAAAATATCAATATTTCACCTGAACCTATAGAGGACAAACATGTCTCAAAGATAAAAAGGAAGCCAGCCTCATCTCTGAGAATCAATTTACAGCCTTCAAATTGTATGCACTATCTTTAGGCGCTCCTCGTCATGGTACAAATGCCACTAAGCCCGATCAATTTCCTTTTTACAACAACTTATGTATTTACTGACTGTAATCAGCTCATGATGTAACTGTGCACCTGGGATTTGTGAGATTTCCTGGTGAACTTTTTTGTTTTCAAAGGCCAAACATTTGACATTTCATATGACTCATGATGGTTCCCTCATTAATGAGCCGTTCCTTCCTCCCTTCTAGCACGTTGTGACGTAAATATTTTCTTACTGGATGTGCATGAAAGATTAATATTTTTTTAGTAATGACTTTAATGTAGTAAGCAAAGTGTGATGTAAGACATAATCTTTCAATATGATAAAAGAGTTATGTTTATATGTAACTGAGTGTGTTTCTTTACCACATGGGCACCGCAGTGTATGGTAACATGACATTAAAGTGAACTGTCAACACGCACATGACACCACACTGACCTTAAGAACGTCATAAAGTCATTATTTCTCATCTGGGAATATTTTAATCCGCTTCCACTGGCCTTCATCAATCTAAGAGAGGATACAGTGGGTGAACCTACAGGAAGAGGATATGAGGAATACATATACAACCCATGGAAGGAACATAATACTGTTCATAATTATTTTTATATTATTTTTTAGTAATTGTGAATAACTAATGGTTTGCTGCACATTAAGGAGACAGCGCTCACAAAGAGATTTAACAAATTACAAAAATAGTGTAATAATATTCAATTAAATTCAAAAACTTTATTCATCCCCAAGGGAGAATTTCTGTGGCAGGGTTAATGTTAAGATAGACAAACTGTGACCATATGGCAGAGATAAAACAGTGAGAATACTGTATGTGTCAAGCAGCTGGAAGATTACTTTATTTGCTTTCAGTGAGTGACAAGTGAAGGCCGCCTTAATGAAAAGACTTCATCTCCTGTGTGTCTGAACTAAAATCCAGTACAGTCATTATCAAAATAAACCAGGGGAAGGAGGGAAGCAACCTCCGCCACTTCAGGGAGAGAACATGTTTATGGCACATTACCAGCCAATTTTTAGTCTGACATTCTCACGTCTGCTTAGCTTCCCTGATCCTTTGAAAAAGTTGAATTGCTTTTTCCTGCCCATCTGTTTTTCCTTTGTGCAGTCCATAAATGTGAACTTTTACTCTATGAGTCTCTGAGTCATAGTCCTTGCAACAAATAGTTCCACGATTCAGTGAGCAGTCTGAGTGGGCATAAGACAGTTTTTTCCTGATACAGTTGCAAGAATGGCATTTCCTGGATTTCTGCATAAATTGGTCATAATATGTGTTATGATCTTCATCTAAGTGACAACAATAAACAAAGAAAGCCTGCTTAAACTATTACCACACAGACAATTTATATGTTTTCATGTTTTTATTGAACACACCAACATTCACAGTGCAGGGAGGAAAAAGTATGTTTACCCTAGGCTAATGACTCCAAGAGCTAATTGGAATAAGGTGCCAGCCAACCTGGAGTCACATCAATGAGACGGGATTAGAGGAGTTGGTTAAAGCTGCCTGCCCTATAATAAACACAAACCGGTTTTGAGTTGGCTATTCTCAAGAGGCATTGCTTTATATGAACCATGCCTGGCACAAAAGAGCTCTCAGAAGACCTACGATTAAGAATTGTTGACTTGCATGAAGCTAGAAAGAGTTACAAAAGTATCTCTAAAAGCCTTGATGTTCATCAGTCCATGTTAAGGCAAATTGTCTATAAATGGTGAAAGTTCAGAACTGTTGCTACTCTCCCTAGGAATGGCCGTCCTGTACAGAGGTAATGTAATCTACGATACGTAAAACACTAAACAAGAACATTGGTTAATGTTGTGGTTTAATTTTTCTTGTTTTAATGCACCTCAATTGATGTCTATCTGACTTAAACTTTTAGCTTTCCGACTATAGTGAGAGACCACAAACTCCCACTGAAGCTATCCAGAATGGTGACACCCGACTCACAGAAATCAAAGAGTATTCATACTTTGCAGTCACGTGATTACCATGGTTACCTGGTGGGAAAGAAACAAATATATTTACATATATACGTCACCTTACACCGCACAAAAAATGAAAGCCTACAAAAGTACGGATAGCTATCTTTTCTTCAAGGGTGGATGGGTTAACAACGCTGTCGTATGGGAGGTGAAAAACAGGAATATCTTCATAATGAAAGCAAATGCGAGTGTAACTAGTTAGCTAGCTAACGTTACCCGCTAACGTTTGCTAATGTTTGCATGTTTGTAGCTAGCCGGCGAATGACAGCTTGATACGTAACGTTAGTTTAAAAAAAACCTTACGCCAACTAGGCTGTATCATATATGGCTAGCAGGATGTCAAACATTGTAGCCTACCTGCTTATCCACTCCACATAGCATCAGACAACAGACACGAGCAGCTGGGGCAGCAAAATGCCTTTAATCCTGTTAGCAATCTGTTAGGTTGTAACGTTAATGTAGTTGTAATAACTGTACGATGGTATGTATGCAAAGTAACTGTAAGTAAGTAAGTAAGTAAGTAAGTAAGTAGACACAGTACAACAGTAACGTGTGTACTGTAACATGTATTCTTCTTTTCATCATATCATATCAAATCACGTACATATGATATATATATATATATATATATACTTTTGTATAGTAAAACTGGCGACGCCCTGGCAAGATCCTTGAGTAGTTTACTGGGTTTCGTTGCTGGAGAACGATTGCCAACTACTAGCTGGCGGGCAAGAACTACTTGCATCAACACAGGATGCAAGCCAGCCGAGTTGTCCCAGGATACAACTGACTTGAACAAGGAAAATCTATTATATGCCTCTTTCCAAAAGAATGTAGCCTCTTTCCCAATGATGTCTAACGTCTGATAACCAGTACTCATAACACATCTGATGCCCAACTTCCCTGAGAAAGCCTTTGGAATGTGCTTAGCTCATGGCACAATGAATAACACCTCTCCTAACTAGGGTGAGATAGCCAGAGTGTGAAAACATGAGGATGAACATACATGAACATAAAATATTATACTGTAAGCCTGTAAAATTAAACATGGAATAACAGAACATAATATAGTTTGCTTCATGTTCACAGACCCTTACCCCTGAATGCATTTTCCCACTACATTTCCCCCCTTGAGTGACTCTTGTCACTCACAAAAACAAAAATGCATTCTCTTACCAGTTTGTGTCCAGATTACAGAATGTTACCTCTTCAATTTTTTCTCAAAAAGTCCTGCTAAACAATCCACATACAATATGATGATATTATAGTACATGATAATCCCCTGATAAATCCCTTATTTAGGACTGAACTTTCAATTTCAAACATTATTTTTTCTTTTGTAACTGTCTCAATGATACCTTCTCATTTTACGTCAATACTTAAAATTAATTATATAAATGCCATTGTGCCTAAACATAGAAAAAACCCCTGTGTTACATTTTTTTTATTAGATGATAGATTTCCCTTCTTATGCAGGTTGACTACATGTTCTAAGTACACTTCATGTGAGCTATTAAGTCAGATTGAATCTGTCAACTTTTTTTTGTACAGGCTTTGCTTAAAATGGCCATCTGATGTTGTGTTCTACGCAGATTTCACTGTAGCGACCATCTATGGAGACCACCAAGTGTTTCGTACCACTTTCAATACTTCCCCCCTTGCGACATGGTAAACACCATGCACAACAACAAACAACTGTGGTATCAAAGATGCAGGTGCCACCAACCACCCTGCGGCAGAACGAAAACCGTCCAATGGAGTCTGTAACAACTCCCCTGTCAAACCAAAGTTGGTTCTCCTCTGCAGAAGCAGTCGACGGTACCTCAGCCAGAGCACGCAATAAAATGGTGGGATCATCATCCTTAACCGTTATACTGCAGCTAAAGCCCTAAGCTCTGCTGTACTAAAAGGGGAGCATACAGCTGTTGCATGTCTGGTGGCATGCTTCTGTGGCATGCTTTGTTCATAGGTGTCTGGCGGGCTGTTGGGTACAGGATGATCTGGAACTAGTTCGATCGTATTTGCTTTCGCTGTCCTCGTCATTGTCATCAACCATTTCCACCAGCTATATGACAAGACCAAAATTCATTTAATATGTCGTCCCCATTTTCATTTTTTTGACTAGAATGTCTTTACTTTACCCCTGTGTACAATTAATAATTGATATTATTATATTATATATATGGTAGTGTAGCTTAGCTGATTATGTCCTCAGCATCTCTAATATTTGTTGTCCCAAAAATGTGTTGTAACGTTAGGCATACCCAATAGCACAAGAACAGGGTCCATAAAATCATTAGGCTTTAAAGAATAGTAATTGATATGCTCCAAATGTAACCAACACTAGCTCTCCTAGCTGCACTTTATGATGTTCACTCAAGTTATTTAGGACATGCAGACTCAACTGTACTAATACAGTTCTTGTATGTTCTTCTCCTGTTAAGCTTCTGGGGTTAATTTATTTCACTGACTAGAGTGGCGGAACTAGACTTTTATACAAGGGGTGGCCAGAGGGTGGTCGGTGTCTTGGCAAAACAAAGAGAAGGCTGCATATCACGGACACTGCGCAAGACTCAGCTCAAGGATCAAATAAAGACACCATTGGCATGAGAATTAATGAATGACTTGCCTGGCTAGTTTCATGTTGGGAGCTGCCCGGGCTGCTGATATCTGGGCTGGGATCTGTCTGTGCCTGATTTGTTTTTTTAGCAAAAAAGTTGGAAATATCTCCCTTCCTCTTCATTGTTATCTGTTTATTCTGCCTTCTCTGTTTGCGTTTAAAAATCTTGCTGTTTTCGACGTGACATACAGTGACCTGTCAATCAACTGGGGTGGCACCCAGGTTGTCCAATCAGGTTCCAGGGGTGGCCAGGGTAGCACTGGCCACCCCTCTAGCTCCGCCTCTGAATTCAATTCAATTCAATTTCAATTCAATGTTATTTGTATAGCGCCAATTCATAAAAGAAGTTATCTCAGGACACTTTTCAAATAGAGCAGGTCTAGACCGAACTCTTTAAAACATTAATTACAGAGAACCAACAGTACCACCATGAGCAAGCACCAAGGGCAAGGAAAAACTGCCTGTTAAAAGGCAGAAACCTAGGACAGATCCTCCGGCTCTAGGTGGGTGGTCGTCTGTCTCGACCAGTTGGGGTGAGAGAGAGAGGGAGAGGCAGAGAGAGAGAGAGAGAGAGCGAGAGACAGACAGACAGACAGGTGTACAGCAACAACAGTATTGGCAATGGCAATCTAGCAGGACCATGGCAGGAGGCTCCACAAGGATCGATAAGAACCTGCGAGACGAGAAAGCACAAGAACTCCGGGGAAGAAGTGAAGTTAGTAACATGCATTAATGGGACATGAATGAGTGCAGAAAGAGAGAGGAAGGGAGGAGCTCAGTGCACCATGGGAAATCCCCCGATAGTCTAGGCCTATAGCAGCATAACTAAGGGATGGTTCAGGACTCACCTGATCCAGTCCTAACTATAAGCATCATCAAAGAGGAATGTCTTAAGCCTACTCTTGAATGTGGTGAGGGTGTCTGCCTCCCGAACCACAACTGGAAGCTGGTTCCACAGGAGAGGAGCTTGGTAACTGAAGGCTCTGGCTCCTGTTCTACTTTTAGAGACTATAGGAACCACAAGTAGCCCAGCATTCAGAGAACGTAGTGTTCTAGAGGAGTAATAGGGTACTATGAGCTCCTTAAGATATGAAGGGGCCTGACCATGAAGAGCTTTATAGGTGAGGAGGAGGATTTTAAATTCTAATCTACATTTCACAGGGAGCCAATGCAGAGAAGCTAGTACAGGAGAGATGTGATCTCTTTTTCTAGTTCCTGTGAGTACTCGTGCTGCAGCGTTCTGAATTGACTGACTATCTACCTCAGCGCCTAGGATTTGCTGAAGGTAAAACGATGTTTGTTAAGTCTTTTTATTTATTTTTTGTTTCTTCTACTTTAAACTACTTTTATGAACCGGCCTAGCCCTACAGTCAAACAGACCATAAGGATGATCCTAATGTAGCGGAATCTCGGCTAGTATTCACTACCGGGCCTGCCCTGCCTATTTATATAGCAATAGACAGCGGTTTCTCAGCAAGATGCTATTGTCTTTTTTTCACTACTTCCGCCTAGATCAATGAGTACACACAGTGACTTGCCTAGGACTTCTTCACACTACCTATTTATATACTGAGTATTTGGCTTCAGTTAGGACTTTCACGAACTCTCTCACACAATCACTCCTCATGCATACATGACACACTTTGTGATAACAGCAGTTCACTTCAGCAGTTATGCAATTTGACCAAACAAGTCATCACTCAGTAAATCAACAAAAAAGCAGACTTTTTGCTTTTAATAATTCAGTATAATATTAATTTAGTGTAATATAGTAGCATATTGGAGTCAATAAACAAGAGTCACAGGGTCCTCATTTTCTTACGTTCGTAGGATGAAGCAGGAGTCATGAAGCAGGAGTCACAGACTCTCTCCCCACAGACAGAAACACCATATGTAGATAATTTAGAAAAGGTTTTTTTGCTTAAAACGGATGGAAAAATGTTTTCCCTAGTTTATTGCAGGTCTGATCTGCAACTACAGGAAACGTGTGAATGTTTACATGGTGTGTTCAATAAAAACATGAAAACATATAATTGTTTGTTTGGTATTAGTTTAAGCAGACTGTGTTTGTCTATTGTTGTGACTTAGATGCAGATCAGAACACACTGTATGACCAATTTATGCAGAAATCCAGGTAATTCCAAAGGGTTCACATACTTTTTCTTTCAACTATATATGATATTGCTAACATTTAAGCAAACAATCAAGGCATTTGTGCAATGATACTATTGTTGTTATTGATGTTATAGTGTCTGTTATTGATGTTATAGTATCTGTTATTACAGATGTGACCCTTAACCTCAAGTGTTTCTCTATAGGATTTGGAGTGACTGCCCCATCCACTCTGACAGGGAAGGTCCTGCTTGTTTTCTATGGGTTGCTCGGGTGCTCGTCTACAATATTGTTTTTCAATCTCTTCCTGGAGAGAGTCATAACCTTACTGAGCTTCCTAATATTCTGGTGCCACAGAAGGAGAGGTGGACACAGCGGACTGGAGGACAGTGACGGTAACCGAAATGAAGAATGGAAACCGTCTGTGTACCAGGTCACGCTCATCCTTTTTGTTGCTGTGCTGCTGGTTGCATGTGGGGCAGCCTCTCTCTATTCAGCCATGGAGGGCTGGAGTTACTTGGAGTCGCTCTACTTCTGCTTTGTGGCGTTCAGCACAGTGGGCTTTGGAGACTTTGTCAGTGGCCAGAGAGAGCACCATGAGGACACCCGGGTGTACCAGGTTGGGAACTGTCTTCTGATGCTCTTGGGAGTGTGCTGCACTTACTCCCTCTTTAACGCCATCTCTGTGATCATCAAACAGGGACTGAACTGGATGCTGAGGACACTGGCCTGGATGTATAGTGGCATCTGTAACTACAGGCTGCAACTCAGACCACTGTTCAAACTCTGTTTTTCTGACTCCGAGCCACCCAAATGTTATTGTGAAGATAACAATCCGCATAGACAGCAGGTGCAAGCAGTTTCCTGTTAAGGCCACAGCACGGTATGGCGCTCCTGTTTTCCCAGTGCTATTGGTAAATGCCTTTGTGATGAATCTAAAGTGGAAACAGTGTGCAACAGGAGCATAGACAGATAAATATCTGCAAAACAGACCAAGACAGTTTATATGAAAAGGCTGTAATCTACTTGGCCAAAGTAAACTATTTCTCAATATATTGTCAACAAAGAGTAATCTGTAGTTTTATAGTAATAAAAAGGTTAGAATTAATTAATAATGTTGTTTATTTCAGATAGCTCAGGTGCTAGATGTGATATAGTTTGCTTTGTGTTTGCTTCAGCAACATTAACTGTGTAAGATTTAATTATTTCAAGCACATTTGGTGCTGAGTGGATTATTAATGTCAACCTTAACCGTTATCGTGAAGGAGGCAGGCAATACACAGATATACACACATATTTTGTATATTTAAGGTTCAATAAAACACAATCATCAACAACTCTGCCATGTTACACTTCGTGTAAGAGACTATGACATCAGCTACTGTCATGCTTGTGTGTGCAGTCATTTATCTACAAAATTAAAAGATTAGAAATCACAGGGGATACGGTTTTGACACGGCTACAAACGATCATACACGGTCGAGGCAGACGACCACCCACCTAGAGCCGAAGGGTCTGTCCTAGGTTTTTTCCTTGCCCTCGTCGCCAAGTGCTTGCTCATGGTGGTACTGTTGGGTCTCTGTAAATGTTATAAAGAGTTCGGTCTAGACCTGCTCCATTTGAAAAGTGTTCTGAGATAACCTCTGTTATGAATTGGCGCTATACAAATAAAATTTAATTGAATTGAATTGAAACAATGCTACTGACTAGTGGTGGGCGGATCGATCGACCCCAGGCACATGAAAAATGAAACCCCCCACATCCTGGTCCCAACAGACCCACACCACCGACCCAGAGGAAGCGGTTATTAACAGAGGCCCTTCAGTTTGGCAGAGAATATCCAAGTAGATAATAGTGGTGAAAGTAATATTTTGGTCATCTTCGGCGTTAGTTAATATATCTTTTTAAGCGCAACTGGTCATTTGTTACTTTAGCCAACTCAATAAAGTATAAAGTATTCTAAGCCTTGAAGACCTTGAAATAATACATTTATATTATATATTACCATTACTATTAGCCTACTACTGAGCCTACTACGCTGGGACATGTTTCTCAAGAAATGAAACTATTCAGCACATGATTGTAATGTTAATCTGTGTACCGATAGGCCTGCATCACCAGCGGTTCTATTGACAACAGATGATCAAGACATCCAGTCTGCGTGGGTGAGTCTAAGAAGCGCTGTGTGTCAATACTCAAACGCCTTAACCAATGAAAGAAAAGAATGAAAATAATAAAAAGCTAGAAGTAGACCTATGTCTACTTAAGCGGAAAGTCGGGTAATGTGGCCGGCGTCTCCCAACCGAGCCAAATATTTTGACGCAAAACGTGGCTTTTTGAGACGTTGTGTCATGTCTATTGGTCGAATCATCCTCGTGTGTCTTAATTGCTTTGTTTATTTACGCAAGGACCCGGCACCAGACATCCTCAAAGCTATGTCTATCGTCTGCTCAATCAGCATTTTGAACTACTAAAAAAAAGTAACAAAATAATTGCATCAGCTTCATCATGCTTCCGTCCATCGAAAATATTAAGAAAAACAAAACACTTTAGGTAATCACTGCAGGCTTGGGATTTTCCATTCTAGATGGAGGTCTAAACAAAAAGTTGACTATTTAAATGAAATGATTTGTTGTGTGTCAGGAGATTCGCTGTTAATTGACACTCGTGGGCTCGTTTCCGCTGTTACGCTGGATGTTGTGTCACTGTAGGTAGGCAATACTAGTGCAATGTCTCCCTCTCCTGGTGTGCTGTGGAAATAGCATTAAAAAAAGTTTCTTTTCGGCCCCAGTGTGGTCCTCAGTCGGTAAATATGCTTCCATCAGTAGAGGCTCCTTTTCCATTAGCTAAAGTATTATTAGAATTTCTCTTTTGCTGAAGAAGGACGAGCCTCTGATAAATTAAGCTCTCCTACAGGCCTTTAAGTCTCCTGAACTATGAAGTTAAACGTAAGATAAGATAGACTTTATTGGTCCCACACTGGGGAAATTCACTTGTTACTGCAGCTCCAGACACATTAAATAACAAAATAAAATAGATATCAAAATATGAATTAGTGTTGTATGTACACTATATACAGAATCGTTTATACAAATGTGATTTAAAGTTAAAATATAATATTGCACAGGTTACAGAAGGAGGTAGGGACATATTGTAGAAATAACAAACAAATATATATTATACAGCAATGATTTAACAGGGCTATGAATATACAGTACAGGTCTAAAGACTAAAGTGCATGTAAGACATTATTTTAAAGCCAGCTGCAGAAGGGACATGGGTTACAGTCACCAGCACAAGATGGCAGCGGCTGTATTTGGGATATTTTGGATTAATTTTTGTACAGTGGTGTTCAATGGTGGATATGATTTATATGAGTAGTAATAATCCGCAGATTGGGAAATAGGGTGAAGCTTCTCCCCATTAAGAGAGACACTGTGGACATTTACACACGATGCACAGCAGTGAAACTTGTATTTATTTAAAATGTAACAGTCCAGGTTGATAAAGTAAAACTGTTCAGTAAAGCAGCAACCTCCTGATAAATCCTGAGCTCCATCAGAGCTGTCTAAAACATTTTTATAAACAATTTTAGAGGCTAAAAGTTTAATTTTGTTCCCTCTGTTCTGTCAAGTTTATAACTTGTTATGGTACCATACTCGTTCCTCTTGTTTCTATTGTTTTCCCCTCTCTGGTGTTCCTGTCTGTCTCTCTGTGCTTGTGTGGGACTTTTGACACTCTCCCTGATTGGCTGAGGACCTGTCTGCTCAAACCTGTCAGTTATTAGTCATGCGGTAAATCACCCCTGGTTCACCCACTCTCCCCCAGATCTTGTGAAATTCATAAAACACCTTTTCCCTGGCACTGACGTACTTAACCTTGTTTTTCCCGAGTTTCCACTGCCTCCACCCCTGCTCCTGTCTGCCAGCTGGAACCTCACCTCACCATCCCATCAGCCCCAACTAGACAACAATAAAACTTTGTTTTGGTAATCATACTCTGCTTGTGGGTTCGTCTGTTTAAGCAACAGTACCACAGTTTTTAGTTTCGCTGATTAAATGTCCCACCCTGCTGATACTGGCGTAATTATTTGGTATATACTATATTGATGTATGAAGATCGTCATATGTAAATAAACTAAACTTCATTTTCTGTTACACCTAAGTGATTCCTCCTTGTGTTTTTGGTCAGATTATTAGGAAAGTGATTAAAATGCATTATTTTGGGGATTCTCTCCTGGAGAAGCCACCGGATGGATCATTTTCACTATGCATGGCTACGCTGGCCAGTAATTTGGTGCCCTCCTGCCTTGAGCCCCCCTTGGATATTTGTTCAAGCTCAGGCACTGGTGCCAACATAGCACTTTTAAAGGTCCAATATGTAATAGGCTCTATTGGAAGAAATTTAATGTAATATTAACACATGTGTTTTCATTTGTGTGTAATCACCTGAAAATAAGAATGGCCATGTTGAGTGAGTTGAATGAGCTGTTGTGTTTATATCTACAGATATATCTTATTTATCTTAAATTCTGCGGGTTGCCTTTGATGGAGTCTGCTATGTTGAACCGTTTCTACAGTAGCACAATAGGGGCCAAACAAACACTGATTCTAGATGGCGTAGGCCTATTTGTTTTTTGGTTTTTTTTGGCTTATTTCCAACCACCATAGTGTCTTCACAGCACTTGCAAGGGAAGAGTAAAGTGATATAGTTGTGATCTACAATTACACCACCAGATGCTACTAAATCCTTCAATACTGGATCTTTAAATCTGCTACTGTTCTGATTCATGCCTCTGAATGGCTTCCTCTCCATGGCAACGATGGCTAAGGCTCATGGGTATTGTGTTAAGAGTATGCACCATACATGAATTCTCATGTGGTTTTTTGAGCTGTAAACTGAATTATATTACTTTATTAAATACAGTGATGAAACACATCAATGCTGGTGTTAAAAATTAACATTATTGCCAAATTTATGCTCAGCAAGGGGCTCTAATTTTCTAAATCACCCTGTGCCTTTTAATGATGAGACAGAGTCGACTGTTTGGGGAGACTCAATGTCACATTTATAAAAAAAAACTGTGTTTGCATCCTCTAGTCAGAAGAGGGCAGCCTCGGCTTTGAGTGGGAGTTTTTGAAACTGCTGCACTTATTATTTTTAAGGCTACGTCCACACTACCATATTTTAGCATTTGTATATTAAGGGAGAGGCATCATCGACAGTCTATGCAATTATTTGGTTAAACTTCTACTTAGTGTTTTTCTATTTTGGCGCAGAGGTTCGAACTGAATCAGAATCAGAATTAGGTTTATTGCCAAGTAAGTTTTTACACCTACGAGGAATATGTCTGGGTAAATTGGTGCATAAAATACAAAATTATAAAAATCACACAAAAATCACACAACAAACAAAACAAGAAAAAACAATGCGCACCAATACACCGAGGCGACCGTACGTGGCGCCGTCTTGCAATATTTACCTTGATCCCAGGCCAAGCTCCCTAAAGTCACTGTCCTTTGCAGGTCTCTGATGCCATAAGATTTTATTATTTTCTGAGAGGGAATAATTAATAATTGACACTGGTGGTCACAACATAAACCTATATGATTGATATACGCAGGAGACAGTCCTGTTTCTCTGTTTGGTAACATTGAAGATATTGTTGAAAATAATAATAATTAATGTGAATACAGAAAGACGAAAAACACTTCCTAGAAGCCAGCCACCTCGCATCTCCCAACTCCATTATCACATTAGACATTGTTAATCTTCCATACACCGGAGACGGCGTGGTGGGGGTTGTATCTTTGCGCGTTTATATAGAGCAATAATCTTTTTTTTTTTTGGGTTGTTTTTTTTTTTTTTTTTGCTCTTTTGTTATGTGTGAAATTAATATTCAGCAATGCACAGTGGACGCGTATTGGGATTAAAACACTTCCACATGTGCGGTGATCCGGTATTTTGTCCCTGTTTTGAGTGGGAGGACCAAAGGTGTACCGGCGGAGGGATACAGTAATCTACTAACTCCGCCACAGCAAACCGGCGTCCCTGAGGTCTCCGGGAAACTCTACTGCAACACCGGGTTACAGTCTGCACTGATTTCCTCATATATACATATATATATATATATTAGTAAAGTTCGAGTTTCTTCATTGGACTAGGAGTCTCTTAAGTAAGGCGAATACAAAACCTTACACTGGTCGTTTTGTGATCTTCGCGGAGCTTTAAAAAGAAAAAAAAGTCTACGGGACAATGGTGAGTACGGGGCTTGCTAACGTTAACTCGTAGCTGATGTTAGCTTAGCTATGGTTACGGTTTCAGATAACAGCCAGCA